TATATATATATATAAAATATATATATACTCTTTATGTCAACATTTGAAATGGATCAAATACATTTTCAAAATGTTGACGACTTCAATAAAAGATCTTGATCAAATGTTGCCTACTATATATATATATATATATATATATAGTAAATGTAATGTTAACATGTAAACGTAATAGTAAATATATGTAGTATATATGTAAAACCAAACAGTCAGCTTTATCAAATGAAATGAGTGTAGTTAACTCAATTTACTGGAAGTTAATTCTACTTTTTTGAAAAGAGTTTTGAACTCAGTGTTGAAGGTATAGTGAGTTAATTAATTACCTCATTACTTCAATTTTAATGGAGTAAGTTCACATTACTCAAATAGATTAGTTTTTTTTTTACTGAAATGGTTTGTTGCAATCAGTTTTCTCAAACAGTTTGAGTTGCCTTAACTTGAGTTTTACAGTACTCAGTTGGTTTGAGTTCTCTTCATTTATTGACTTTTACTGTGCTTAAATTGGTTCATTTACTCAAATGGATTAAGTTTAGAGTACTCATTTGGATTAGATTTTGAAATTAAATGGTTTGTTGCAATCGGTTTCCTCAAATGGTTGGAGTTACCTTAACTTTGTGTTTTTGTAGTGCATATACAGGTATATACACACTACCGGTCAAAAGTTTGGGGTCAGTAGGAATTTTAAATGTTTTAAAATAAGCTTCTCCTGTTTTATCAAAAATACAAATTGTCAAATTGTGAAATGTTATTGCACTATAAAATAACTGTTCAAAAGTTTTTATCATTTAATTTTAATAATTTATTCAGAGATTTCAATTAGGAATTTTCAGCTTCATTACTCTAGTCTTTATAGTCACATGATCCTTCAGAAATCACTATAATATATATAATAATTATAATATAATTATTAATATTTTATATATTAATTATATATATATATATATATATATATATATATATATATATATATATATATATAAACTTATATTATATTAACTTATTGATTATATTATATTATCAATAATGACTAGTGTAATAATTTAATTTAAAACTAGGAAAAAAGATAGGAAAGCAGTTGTTTAAAATTGTAATAAATATTTAACAATTTTTTTTACATTTAGTAATGCCGCTTTGATAAACAGAATACTTTTCTTTAAAAAAAAAAACATGAACAAAAAAAAAAAAACTGACCCCACACTTTAAATTAGGATGTATATAATATCATGAATTTAGGTTTTTGCTCTGCTAAACATCACTTTGGAAATAATTACACAGGAAAACGTATTACTTGAGGGTTAATTATTTTGTCCTCAGCTGTATACATAAGTGACACAGGAAAAGACACAATTGGGTGAAAAATTAAGTAAAATAGAGATTTTTGTTAAAGACTAACAATAGTTGAACACAGTAGAACAGAAGGATGAGTTACCACCTTTTTGTTGTTAATATTATTTTGGTATAAGAGAGCTCCATATTCAGCTTATATACCAACACAGCGAAAACAGAGTAAAACTATAGAGTAGAATAAATGCATTCATCCCAAATTATTGCAGAAGCTTAAGGGAATCCAGCTACAATCTTCACAGAGAAGCAAATCAGTGTTAAAGAAATAGCTCACCCAAACATTAATGTGCCGTTCTTCCCTTTGTGGAAAATAAAAATATATTTTTGTCAATACTGCGAAAGACAACCAAACAATGTTGATTTATTTGCATTTTTTAGGACAAACACAGATGAAATATCTTCACACGGTTGTGCCATTTGTTAATTGATCAGTGATTTTTGGGTGAATTAGCCTTCTATTGAAGTTGTTTGTTATTTTGGTCAGTGCAAAGAGACTTACAATGTCTTTGTTCCACACGATTCCTTCATCTTGTTCCAACATAAATCAGTAAAGTTAACTCAATATATTTTTTACACTTTTAAGTGGATTAAACATAAGACATTTCAGTTGTCCCAAAAAACCTTAAGAATGGTGTTGTTTCAACTCATTTTAAACACTATTTATAGTTTGATCAAACAGCAAAAATAATTTTTGGAGTGTAGAACAACAAGTGTACATTCGGGAAAATATGCCATCTTGATTCATATCCTTCCTTCAGTATTAATATATAACCCTTAAGTAAATCATTTTTATTTTTATATAACTGTAAATTGTGTCAAAGCCTCTTTACACGGATGAACACGGAAAAAAAGCCATAACATTTCACTTCGTGGGACATATTCAGCATGTCAGGCAGGTGGAATTCTAGTTCTAGTTTGCTTAAAACTGATTCAGTTCAGTTTCATACGAATGTCACAGCTCCGCCGACCCCGACCGAGCGAGCCAGATGGACAGTGACAAGGAACTAAAACTTCCCAAGGTGCCAGCATGCATGAACACAGCATGTATAAATAACATACATCCACACAAAGCTTTACACACACGACTAGTTGGAAAAAAGGGATCTACATTTAGTACATTGCTTCTTCGTATAGTGAAACGCAAGGGTTTATTCTCTGTGTCTTTAGAATGGAGAACCACAGCCACCGTGGCAAGCTGATTTGCCTTTGCCCAGAGATTTCTCCATCATGTGCCTCTGCTGGCTGTGCGCATGCCTGTTAAAAACATTGGAACATTGATTGCTTTTAGAGGCATCTCATCTCATTCAAGGCTGGGTTTTAACTAGGTTATGGACTAACCTGGTTAGATCTTCCACATCTACCAGCATGGCATCCTGTTCCATGTGGAGTTCATCTCTCATTAGCAAAAGCTGAACCAGCTCCTCATTCAGACCTACAACACAATAAAAAAAATCAATCAGTTCTGTAAGGTGTGAGTTATCATAAATTCTTTGATGTCTTTGACAATTCAAACATGAGCCAAAAACAGAGACAATTGGCTCCACAACCCAGCAGGTGGGAATGCGGGAAAGAACCAGTTCCCGCTACATTTACATTTGAATGCGCTGAAACTTGACTTCAACCACCCCAACTCACACATATGGTTATTTCCATGTCTGATTGTCTAAATTAACACAAGTGACTTTATCTATCATGTTTGATATCATTTGAAATGTCTCAGTGCGACTGGTACAATGGTCTCATTCTCTCAGAAATAGACATAATCAAAACAATAAATATATAACTTCAGGCATCTTTTGAACCACTGTGAAGGGTGTGACTTTACCACAGGCAGCACTAAATGCAAATGCCTTTTGTTATGCACACACCCCTTTCCTTGAGGGGATTCTTGGATTACTTAAGGTAAGGTTTGAGAAATGTTTGGCGCGATTCTGCTTACCCAGATCAGCCCGTAACATGGAGCTTACGCTCCATGTTATGTATATTTTGAAGTCAGGAATGCCTCTTTTAAACTTGGATTTATATGAATTGACTGAATGAATTGGCATAATACACATTTACCTGACTAATAAATAGTTATGTTTTGAATTATTCAAACAAAGTTCGTGTTAATTTCATAACACCACAAGCCCCTGTACAGGTTAGTAACGGACTAAAACACAGTAGACGGAGTCTTGCGGCACGCTATACGATGTCTTTAGAGCTCCGACTAGCACATTGGCATTAATTCATGTATACTAGGACTGTAAAAGGTTATCTAAGGGGATAGTCCTTCACCTGTTAAACTTATAATACTATTTAGATAGTATAGTGATTATTCAAAGTTACTAATAGTTTAAGTACGACTGGTCTGCTTAATTCTATAGTAATGATCATTATATGACTAAATAGCTCCGTTTGATTTAGGAGGTAGCAGATCTATGGGGACCGCATAAAAAATATCCTAATCTGAGCAAGTAGGGTTCTGCCTTTTTAGGATAGCGGTCAATCGCCACTTTTTAGTGACTAAGACTGACATGCTTGTGCTTAAGAAATTGTATACTCGGCCGGTACAAGATTCAGGATGTTATAGGAATCGCAATGAATGAGAATAACCAAAGAGAATATTCAATCATAATCTAAAATAATGTGAAAGGAAACAAAATAATCTTATCAATGTTTTATAATTGGAGTCAGAAAAAACGAGGAAGTTTAAAGTAAATCAACATTGTGCACTGGAAAGACCGAACATGCAGTGAACCTTCATCCACCAGTGGACACCATCATTGGACCAACTGGCTGGACCCTATACAGTTCAATCAATATATACATATTTTTATTTAGTTTTCTTAATTTTTAGGACAGAGAGACAAGAAAAATAGACGTAGGTAGACAGACCAACCAATTTTGTTATTTGATGATTATATTATATATATTATACAAATCTAAAACACTTTGGAAATACTGCAAAAAAATATCATGCCAATAAAACAACTTGAACTAGACAAGGGGTGCCCAAACTTCTGGAGGGCCGATGTCCAGCTGAGTTTAACTCCAGCTTACCTTAATACACCTGCCAGAAAGTTTGTAGTATACCTAAGAGCTTGATTAGCTGGTTCAGGTGTGTTATATTAGGTTTGGAGCTAAACTCACCAGGACACCGGCCCTCCAAGACCGAGTTTGGACACCCTGGCATTGCACTGTACTAGGACAAGCATGGGTTATGTTCAACAGTTTTACAAGAACAAAGGTTTTGATCCGCTTCAAAGAATGTATATTTTTGGAATAAATCTGACTTCACCTTGTATCTGAGAATGCAGATCATTGGTGATGACTTGTAACTGACCAAGGCTCATATCCCTCATGTCCACAGGCCTCAGATTCCTCTTCATCAGACACTCACTGATATGTGGCAGATGGGGTAACTAGCGTAGGGAAAAAGTTTAATCCAAATGAAAGTGCTTTAATTAATTATTTAATTAATTAATAAATAAATTATTTGTTTTTAATAATAAATGTATATATTTATTTATTATTAAATGTACTCATGTATTCATGTTTTTCTGCTAACCACAAAAATATTTGTGAAGAATGTTGAAAACAAGTAATCATTAACATTCATAGTATTTGAATTCATAGAATAGCAAAGTCTACTAAAGGAGGTTGAGCCCTCTCATTTATGGCACCTAAACACTCTCAGTTTAAAATAACATGGCTGCAGCAGTAGTGCCTGTAAAATAGTTCCCAGCTAGGTAAATCAGTGTTTCCCAACCATGTTCCTGGCATGCACCATCAGTACACATCGTCAACTTCCTAAACAAACACATCTGAGTGAACTCATCAGAATATTAGAAGACTATAAATCCTGAAATAATTGGGTCAGATAAGAGAAGCCTTTAAAATATCTGTTGATGTGCCTCCAGGGGTCCAGGGATCTTCATGCTGTACGTGGATAACTCAAAAGCTGGATTTGGTTATTGACAATTTGACATGATCCAGGATCGTTTTGTTCTTTAAAACTTATCCGAAAATTCATATAATGCTATAACATGTCATAGCAACAGTTCTCGTAGCTCAAACTAGCTCAGGGGCTGGCTTATTTTATATAAACAGGATTAGATCTGGTCTTCTCAGGCAAAAGTGATACTAAAAGTATGTACTGAGGGCTCTTATTTTCTTACAGTAGTAACATATAGGTTATATACACTTGGGAAAAAATAAAAAAAATAAAATAAAAAAAGTATATATACACACATACACACATAAATTAGAATTTATAAACCAAGAAGTAGGTAGTACATTATTGTTGTAACTAGCTAATGGATCTATTTTATTTATTTATTTATTTGTTTACTTATTTAATTTACTTTGCCCCATGCTGTATTATTATTACTTTATTTACTAATGTGTGTGTGTGTGTGTGTGTGTGTGTGTGTGTGTGTGTGTGTGTGTGTGTGTGTGTGTGTGTAATAATATGTATATATATATATATATATATATATCTATTTATTTGAACTTATTTATATATTTATTTTAAATTGTATTATTATTTTTTACCATCTGTTATATGTTTTACAAGAAGACTATGTGTATGTTTGGGTGGGATGGGTAAGAGGTTTTGGGGTTAAATGTTGACAAATGTGTTTAAAAGAAATTTTACAAGAAATTGGACATTTGTATACAACAAATGCCATTCAATTGTGTTCAAAAATTAATTTTATTTAAAAAAAAAGATTTATAATAATATATAAATATAATATTTAAATTGGTTTCTGTTATGCTTAATAGCAGAATAATGAGAGATATTTTTTGAGAAATTGTTATAACTTTTCTTCAAGTCAAGTTTACATACAATAAGATTATTATGCCTCTGAAAAAGCTCAAGTGATGGTGTCAAGGTTTTGGAAGATTTTGATTGGCTTGTTGACAACATTTGAGTTAATTCGAGGCACAACTGTAGAATAGTATTTAAGGAAAACCTCAAACACACTGCTTCCTTGTGTGACAACATGGGAAAATCAACAAGCCAGAATCAACAAAAAAGCCAGATTACAATTAGCTAAATTACACTGGGGAAAAGAATAATTTTTGAAGACATGTCCTGTGGTCTGATGGAACTAAAATTACACTGTTTGGTCATAATGACCTGTGTTACATTTGCAGAACAAAAGGGGAAAGCTTACAAAGCCTAGGAACACCATCCCAACTGTGAAGTTTGGGGGCGGCAGCATCATGTTGTGGGGCTGTTTTGCTGCAGGAGGGACTGGTCCACTTCACAGCATACGTCATCATGAAGAAAGAACATTATGTAGAAATACTGAAGCCACATCTCAAAACATCAGCCAGGAAATTAAAACTTGCCCATAAATGGGTCTTCCAAACAGACCATGACCCTAAGCATACAGCCAAATTTAGTTCAAATGTGCTTTAAGGACAACAGAGTGAATGTTTTGTAGTGGCCATCACAAAGCCCTGATCTCAATCCTACAGAAAATTTGTGGGCAGAGTTGAAAAAGCTTGTGCGACCAAGACAGCCAACAAATTTGACTCAGTTACACCAATTCTGTCAGGAGGAATGGGCCAAAATTCCTTCAAACTATTGTGAGAAGCTTGTGGAAGGATACCCTGCTACTTATGCAATCTGAACCCTGTAATACAAGTACAAAAGCAGGGTGGTTCACCCCAGGGGGATCAAAAAGAACATTTATTAATTTGGACTTCTTAGATACAAATGTGTACTATTTTAGGATATAAACCCAGCTTTACAATTTGTGCATGATAATAGACATACACAATATCCGAGAGGGGTCTGCATCCAGACCAGGTGCCGTGCAATCTGAGCTGCATCCAGTGCTTTTTAATGGACTTACCTAACCCCACCCCCCTAACCTTATCCGTCAAAGTGACGTCACTCACTTCATTGAGTGCATTGTGTCTGACATTGCATCGCTGAGTAATGCAATCTCAGCTTGCATCATAAAGGCTGCATCCAGATACTATTGCAATATCCAACAGTTTTTTTAAAGGAATCATAATTTATGCAGTCATGCACATGTTTTGACAGCTAATATGACAGTGATTTGATGCTTTGCAAAAGATGCAGACATCTTTGCCAAAATCAAAAAGCTTTTTTGATGCTAAATTTATTTAAATTTGCAGATTAAGAAACTTAAATAGGCCTAGGCTATAAAGAAAATCCGCTCTAAATGTAAAACTAAATAAATTGCTAAATACTCTTGAGATGTAAAGTGTAAAGCATGTAGCCCACAACAAAGGTGGAAAGTTATTGCGTATCATTACAAACGGTTTACTACGAATTTTATAAAATTTTGCTCACATGGATAATTGAATATTATTCAGATGATGTCATTATGCTACTGTGCTGTCAGTTAATCATTGCATTGCTGGTCATGATTTTAAGATCGATAAAACAGTCCTTCACAACACACACAGCGATCTCAGATCAGTTCATCCAGACTTTAGCCAGAGATCAGTTATCAAAATTAAAAGATCCAGGATCTGTCAAATCATCTTAGATCATTTAAGCGAGGTACGCAGAATGTACACCTGGAACAGGCTTAGTAAACACTGAATTAGATACTGTAACAGCACTGTGTAATATCATAACCCCTGCTGTACAGCAGCAAAGTTCTTTGATTATTACACAAGAATGAGAGAAAGTAGTTCCATATAAACGTAAAAAACATGCTAATGGTCCAATCAGATTCAATCATGTATGCTTAGCGAAGCTAAAAGTGTTTTCGACTGATTGGATTTTAAAATTTCAAAAACTTAACTGTTTAACTGCTTAACTCTATATTTACCCCCCAAAAGTGGAGTGTTCTTCTAAGTGTGTATAAAACTAGTGTTTAGCACAACACTATTGTTGGATACTTGTCTCACTAACCAGGTCTGCCACAGGAGACCTTCTGTGTATCTGAATTTGTCTCTCCACCTCCACCTGCATGCGGGCCATGGGACGGGCCAAAGCTAGAGCCACACGCGCCTCCTCCTGCAGCCGCCGCTGGAGCCGCCAGAACTCCGAATCCTCCGAGTCTAGGTCTTCCTCTCCTGTATCCCGGTCTGACAGAGAGGAACTCTGTTTACTCTGCGGAGAGAAAGAAAAAAAGCTATTCGTTTCATTCCGAACATAGATCCAAACATGCAGAAACAGCTAAGGGTTAATACCATAGGTGACAATGGGGTGTCCAGGCTGGTCTCTGTTCTGCTGTCCTCTGCATCACTGTCCCGGTCACTGCTGCTGTCATTCACAAAGCACATCTGTAGGTTCACCCCATTCTGAAGACTAGAGTGAGAAAAGACAGGGATATTTAACAGGTCTGTATTTTGATGGCATAATACGGTTACATTTGTTGTTAACCCCTTCAGACCTGAATTATGTTCATATTAACTTTAAATGAAAATTGTTTTAAATGAGACCAAATAAAAAAAGAATACAATTTTTTAATAGTCTTTAATTGATTTCTTTGTCCATTTTTACGGACATAAGGTCAAAACAGCTGTACTTCAAAAAATATATACCAACATGAAATTAAAAATAAAATAAGACAAATTATTGAGCTTTACTTGACGTTTTCTGAAGTTTACAAACTTGAGTAATATCACAACTTCAATTTTCAGGTTTTTGTTTTATATACTGCACATTATTAGAACTCACTGTACATTATAATGGTTGGACATTCAAAAAACATCATCCAATGATTATAATTTTGTCATAATTCTTTACTTGTTTCAAACCTTTATGCGTTGCTTTTTTCCTCTTTTTCTGAACACAAAGGAAGATATTCTGAAGAATGCTGGAAATCTGTAACCATTGACTTTCACGGTTTTTGTTTATTCAAATGGAAGTCAATGATTAAAGATTTTCAGCTCCCCTTTTCTGTTAAGAAGTCTACAACCACTCGAGGGCGAGTAAATATTAAGTGAAGAGTGATTTTTGAGTGAACTATGCCTTTTACCTTTAAAGGTTCACGAAACCCTTGAGTACTTTTTTTGAGATTTTAATAGATGTGTGTGTGTTGAGCATCCGTTAAGACAATGTTAGCACCTGTTAGCTGTAATTGTGGGGAAAACTGGATAATTTTGAACCTTTGTCAGCTAATTTCAGCTTCCGGGTTAAAAATGATTTTTTGGGGTGGGATCAAAATCGGCAACGTAGCACAAAACCGCAAGTGCAAAGATGACGTGTCGGTTTCTCATTATTATTCATAGCGGAGTTTTCTTATTTTTTATTTTAGGTTTTTTATTTTGTTGAACGCAAAAAAAGATATTATGAAGAAAGCTGAAAACTGGTAACCACTGACTTCCATAGTAGGGAAAAAGTACAATGGATGTTAATAGTTACAGGTTTCTTTAAAATATCTTCATTTGTAATCAACAAACCAATCGTTTTTTGTAACCAATTTGTAATCAAGTCAAACAGGTTTGTAACGAGTGAAGGGTAAAATGCATCGTTCAAGATTTGTTGAGTCAAAGTGTAGGGTCCAGCCAGTTAGCCCAATGACGGTGCCCACTGGTGGACGCAGGTTTACTGCATGTTCGGTCTTTCCAGTGCACAATGTTGATTTACTTTAAATTGAACTCATATCTGACTCAAAATTTTGTATGAGGTGGTTTAGAATATTGATATATTTATCCTCGTTTTATCTGACTCCAATTATAAAACATTATGTAGTTTCTTTTAATATTACTTTAGTTTATGATTGAATATTCTCTTAGATTTGTTATTGCATGCTCGTTCATTCGGACTCCTACAACATCCTGAGTCTTGTACCGGCTAAGTATACAATCTCTTAAGCACAAGCTTGTCGGTATTGGTTATTAAACAGAGGAAATTAGCCACTATTCTAAAAAGGCAGAACCCTACTTACTCAGATTAAATTTTTTTTGTTGTGTGGTCCGCCTAGATCTGCTATCTACTAAATCAAAGACAAACTATTTAATCACACCATAATCATTACTATAGAATCAAGCAGACCAATTTACTTCAACTATTAGTAACTTTGAGTAATCACCATATGATTTAAATAGTAATATAAATTTTGAGATAAATGCCTACCCACATTTAGATTGGTCTCAACAATACTTTGTTGTTCTAAATATAAAACCCATTATAGGCCTTTTACAGTCTAAGTATACTTTAAACCAGTGTATACTTGATACTTTATACCAGTGTGTTAGTCGGAGCTCTAAGAACATCATAACGTGCCACGCTGCTCCATCTAAAGTGTTTTAGTCCGTTATTAACCTGTACAGGGGCTTGTGGTGTTATGGATTTAATGTAATCTGCTAGAGATAATAACACGATCTCTGTTTGAATAATTCAAAACATAATTTATTAGTCAGGTAAATGTATTTTGTGCCAATTCATTCAGTCAATTCATAAACGATCAATATAGGATATCAGATAATTATCAAAGATAAATCCAAGATCAAGAGATGCACACCTGACTTCAAAATATACACTGCATGGAGCATGAGAACTCCACGCTATGGGCTGATCTGGGCATAGGATCGCCCCGAACATTTAGAAACTTCCTCCAAAGTAGTAAATCAAAGAATCTCCTCGTGGAAAGGGGTGTGTTGAATAACAAAAGGCATTTGCATTTAGTGAAAGAGTTCGCAGTGGTTCAAAAGATATCTGAAGTTATATGTCTATTGTTTTGATTATGTCTGTTTCTGAGGGAATGGGACCACCAGTCGCACTGAGACATTTCAAATGACATCAAACATGACAGATAAAGTCACTTGGATTAATATAGAACAATCATTCATTCATTTTCTTGTCGTCTTAGTCCCTTTATTAATCCGGGGTCGCCACAGTGGAATGAACCGCCAACTTATCCAGAACGTTTTCATGCAGCGTATGCCCTTCCAGCCACAACCCATCTATGGGAAACATCCACACACTCATTCACTACGGACAATTTAGCCAACCCAATTCACCTGTACCGCATGTCTTTGGACTATGGGGGAAACCGGAGCACTCGGAGGAAACCCAGGGAGAACATGCAAACTCCACACAGAAACACCAACTGACCCAGCCGAGGCTCAAACCAGCGACCTTCTTGCTGTGAGGCGACAGCACTACCTACTGCGCCACTGTATCGCCTAATATAGAACGTTCACACTTTAAAATGACCATTCTGCGTGAGTACAGTGTTTAGAGTGGGTGGGTGGGTGGGTGAACAGGGGGGTTGCAAGGATGCTTCAAATGTAAATGAAGGAAAGGAGGGGAGCTGGTTTTCCCGCATTCCCACCTGCTGGGTTTTGGAGCCGGTTGTCTCTGTGTTTCCAGCTCATAATTAAATTGTCCAAGACATCAAAGTATTTGTGGTCTCTCAAGTCTTACACTGAGTTTGTTTAGCATAAATAAAAAAGTTATGTTTAAAATGGTAAATTATTAGCAGCAAAGACACAAAAACGGCTTAATGCCAAAATATGCCTTTTAGAATGCATTTTGATTATAGAAGTTGGACTGTTAACTTTAAAATAAGAACTTCCGACCATGTGTAAAACTAAAAAGCGAAAGTTACCTCTATTTTTAATATTTGTTAACCACCCTGAAACACACTTCCCATGTAAATCACTTTGTCAGACTTTCCTGTTCAATCACAAGAGAGTTTTTGTGGTTAGTAGTATTCTTAGAAAACTGACACTTCAAGTAAGTCTAAAATCCAACTGAAGGTTTCATAAGTTTGTCAGTTTGCTACTGTGAGAATGGTTATGTAATATCGCCTCATAGTTTTTTTTTTTTTTTTTTTAACCTAAACAGTAGAAGGAAAACATGCACTTTGACTAGTTTTCTGAAATGTTATTGTTCATGGACTTTCCTAAAGCATTCTAGGAAACTTTGTATTACCTAGCTGCTTATTAAAAATACACACAGAAAAAAAACATGGTCTGTAAATGTATGAAGCCATTTATTATATAATCAATCAGTTTCTGTCTTTAATATAAAGTATTAACGGGAATTATTTTGCAACACAGTATGTAACAGTATATAAATGTTTTGGGTATGTCAAAACTTATACAGTTGAAGTCAGAATTATTAGCCCCCCTGTTTATTTTTCCCCCAATTTCTGTTTAACGGAGTTAAGATTTCTTCAACACATTTCTAAACATAATCGTTTTAAAACTCATTTCTAATAACTGGTTTGTTTTATCTTTGCCATGATGACAGTACATAATATTTGACTAGATATTTTTCAAGACACTTCTATACAGCTTAAAGTGGCATTTAAAGGCCTAACTAGGTTAATTAGGCTGGATAGGGTAATTATAGGCAAGTTATAGTATAATGATGGTTTGTTCTTTAGACTATCAAAAACAAAATTAGCTTTAAGGGGCTAATTATTTTGACCTTAAAATGCATTTCAAAAAATTTAAACTGCTTTTATTCCAGCGGAAATAAAACAAATAAGACTTTCTCCGGAAAACAAAATATTATCAGACATACTGTAAAAATTTCCTTGGTCGGTAAACATAATTTGGGAAATATTTATGAAAAGAAAAAAAATTCAAAGCGGGGCTAATAATTCTGACTTCAACTGTATATATACACACACACCCACAATATATATATATATA